ACCAGGCAACGAAACATAACCCGAAACAACCAGCCAATTCGTCCAATGCAGATAGTAACCAAGACGAATAAATAAAAAAAAACTTATTAGATTTATTATTGACCTAAAGAACAGAAACGACTTATTCTTCATGGGCTTACCAACAATCAAAGACATAAGATGATGTCGTGAAATTAATAGAAAGTAACAGAATATTTAGATAGACACAACATATGCCAGGACAGATAGAATATGATAATATCGGACACATTCTGATAATGCCAATATTTGTCATTTAGTCTAGCATATTGTACCTTTAATATTGTCAATTTTTAGTTTGTTTTTAATTTCTATGTGAAAGAAAGTACGATACTCAATAAATATAGTATAAAACAATAAGTCTTACTTTTTTATCTTAGATTCAGAACTTCTTGAACACCAATCTTCTGGAAGTTTTCGTTCTTCATTGTGAATCAAGGCCCGTAATAGCTGTAAACATCTTATATCCAGATCCTCATGGCAAGAAAAGGACGGATGAACTTGTTTTACTTGCTTTGCAGAAATCCTGTTATATATAGAAAGAATGCGTTTATTATTAGGGCCTACCCATCTTTAAAAAACGTCCAAAACTATCCTCCACTAAAATATTGACCGAAAATGTAAAATGGGGAAGGTACGAGGCAGAGAATATGTCATTGGATCCAAAGTACCTGTAGGACTGAATATTTTAATGTTAACTATTATGGGAACTTTAAAAAGTTAGTTGTGAAATAAGGCAGAAACTTACTCTAACTGTTCGACTAATTTAACTGCTAGGGCAAATTTCTTTATTGGTTTCTTCTCCTGTTGTGATAGGAAGCATTTGACCAAACTTTGAAACTCATCACCTAAAGGTAGTTCCTCGTTACTCCCTATAGCAGTATATTCTGGAAAATAATATATGTCCCTACGTTATGTTGTTCAGAACTCCTTATAAAATTATGTTAAATAATGGAAATACAAAGAAAATCCAGCTCGCCATAATTGAATGGCTGATAGTTGTGTGGCCTTCATCGTTGGGTAGTGCTCATTTTTAGAATTTCTAAATAAAATTACAAACCTCGTTTCGATTTCATCTTAAGTTGAGCAGTAACTGTATTATGACCACTGTGAACTCGACTACAGTTAATTGTAAAGGTGTGAAATTTAGCATTTAGTTCAAGTTCTGATGCATAGTATTCCATATTTCCCTGAAATGCATACATGTACTTTAAATACAGGACAATCGTTGACATCAAAAAAACAACTGTGTCTATTATTTAATGATTCTTTTAAACATTTGTCTCTAAAAATAATGCCTTACCTTACGAACAGCGCTTATGTTATCAGAAAACTTCATGTCTGTCGTAAATTTCTCCAGAACACTCATTAAAAGCTTTTTAAAAAAAGAAATATGGAAAATGAAAGTTTATAATATCCATTAAGTTATTCAGCAGAAGGAATATCTATCTGCATTACTCAATTTTAAGCTTGCTAGTCTGGAGGTCGCGGGTTCGATCCCAGTGTTGGCCAAGAAAGTTCGTCGGGATTTTCCAGCGTGGTTTCCCCTAGTCCGTGGTGCAGGACACAGAGCCTGACAAGGACAGCTGTCTAGTCGTTCGGGTGGGACCAAAAACCGAGATCCAATGTACACATTGGCGTGCACGTAAAAGATCCCTTGGCAGTCGTAATTCGATATAAGAGTAGGTAGTAGCGCCGCTGTCCTGGCAAAATTTGCCTCATAGCACACTGTATGGCGTAAGCCCATTTTCATTAGCCCAGTCGGAGCAGAACAGTAGGACGTTAAACCCCTCCTCATTTCATTTAAAGGTCATCTATTTGAAATCATATAAGAGGCATGGTGTAATGAGGTAACCTTGTAACAAGCCTTACCGTTTTGGAAGCGTTTCCGACAGTCACAATAGTCGTTAAACACATTACCATGTTCTTCATATGAGCTGGACTAATAATTTTAGGTCCAAGAATATCACAAAGTGCCTAGAGATAGAATAAGGAAATAATAGAAATAAAAAACGAATAAAATGAAAATAGTGTAAACAGATTTCAAAAGATTAGTGTTTTACACGTTCACTCCGATTGTTAGGGTGGTTGTACTTTTCACAGACTCACCCAGTGAGATACACACAAAAGTCGTAAGTGTGACCGAATCCAAAAAGTATTAAATAATTGGCAAGATTTATTGTTTAAATCAAGATTTGAAAAGGGTCCCTGATCCATGAACAAAAATGAACAATCATGAGGAAAATATTTTTTTCTAATTAGAATAAAAATCCCTTTGAATCTCTACTTAGATATGTATATAACTATGTAACTGGAACAAAAGACCCAAAGTGCCGTTTAAAAAAGATGAACTGATATAAAATACTACCGTATACTACTCTAATTTACTACTTACAACTAAGCCATTAGCTATACTATCTGTAGTATTAACTTCATTGGGATTAACATCCTTATCTGGCTGATAAAATACTGTATAAAATATCTGAAGAAAATGACAATTAAAATCTACAGTGGATACAATTACATTACAGAAGAGATTCATTGGACAATAATTGCCCAATGTCAATTATGTGAACGGTAACATGGTCTAAATTTATTAATGATCAAAACAAACATGAACTCTTATGTTTTATATTATTTAGGAGATGATGGAAATTAATATGTAACTGAGCACAATGTTAACTACCAAAAGAATTGACCTACTGCCACTGCTATACACTGAATTCAATGTGAGCCTTTTGAGATATGCATTCAGTAGTAATAAATTTGTAAACTTTATGAATACACTTACATGTAAGAAAGGCATAACAGCTTCTAATACATAGAATAAACTTCCATGAATCACAGATCTAGTATCATGGTTCTCTGAAACTTCACTGAAATACAAACAATAATTGGAATGGCTAATAATTCATTTAAATCATTTAAATAATAATATCAAAAATATTGGATATATAGGAATGATAAATTATTCAGTAAAAGCTATATATATACAGTAGTGTGTAACAATTTTATTTTTATATATTTGAATATGTACTTTGTATACAGAAAAATCCTTACTTTTTCGGCGGTGAAGATTTAAAAAGATAAGACGATCGTTCTGGGTATCGGGATAGATAATCGGTAAGTTGATTTATTTCACCTGCTACAGAATTTATAAAATCCCACATCAACCTTTACGAGAGAAAAATAATAATATTGACAATTCACAAAATATATGAATCACAAGTATTATATTGATAAAATTATATGCTTCGTAAATGTGTTGCCTATATATTTTTAACTGAAACATCAAAGTGGTAATGTTAAATGTGTTTTGATTAATCTGGCAATGTTTAATTTACAAGTAAAATATTGCTTACTTATCATGTTGTAAATCAGCAGCACCGCTTTCTATCAAATTACCAGAAGTCTTCATATAAACCCATAACATAAACTTTATAAAAGGTTTCTTTAGATTATTATCTATCTGTTGGTGATTGATAACCCAGAGTATTTCTTCTACAGGTAAAATAGTCTGACATAATGATTCTATAAATTTATTCTCTCCCTGTAAAAGATGACACGCAGTTATTAAGGATGTATTAAAAAATGAACTTGAACATAATAAAGTTCAATTTCTAAACTCATTCTCTCCCTGTGGCGAACACTATTGCAGAAATGAACCTGAACCTAAATTAGCATTCAGCCATAAAAGCTCCCCAAAAGACTTGGTAATTTGCTTATCCATTTGGCATGTTGGTTTGTTTTTGGTTTGTTTTGGACCTGTTCTATTAATCTGTATCAATTACACACTTATTACTTTATACGTGTATATTGGGCTGGTTTTATAGGATGACCGCCTTCATTAGCCCAACTGATGCAGAACAGTGGGACGTTAAACCCAATTTCATTTCATTTACAGAGTTGTGGAATCTTGTTTTAAAAAATAAAAAGATTATTTCAAGTACCTCAGCACATGTAGCCAATAAATCTACCAAACTAATGAAATATGTCAAATCACCCTTTTCAGTTTTATTCGTCAATATTTTTTCTCTGAAAATAAATAGAGTACACAATTAAACTATTATGTCTGGCACACAGAGTGCTTGTTCTAAATACCTAATGCCATTTTATTTTTTGAAGTTCATATAGTGTTTACGGTATATTTTTATTAGTAAAACATTTTGGTCCAAACATTAGTCATATCAGTCATATCTTTAGTTATGACTTTTTAAAGTTTACATTGGTTTCTACTGATTCACACGGACATCTGTATGTGTATTAGATGGATATAGTTTAATACAAACAGTCAATTCTTCCTGAATGTGTTTTTATACTCGAACGTGCTTAATAAAAGTAACATCTGTCTTTACATTAAAATCGTATACAGTATTATGAGTATGTAAACGGCCGGCTTTTAATACATTGACAAATCATTTTTTTATTTATTGGAATATATCCAAATCAATTGTACAGCAAATTAACTTACGCATATCTTACAAATAAGTTATTTCAAAAATGTCGCAAATGAAATTACTTACTTTGATTCTCTTGACTGATCAAGTACATATGCTGCCTTCTTAAAAGTCTGCATAATATATTTCATCACAAGCGCTTGATTTCTTTTGATTGTAAGATCAAGACCTTCGACTTTTACCAGGGCTTTTAACAAGTCCAAGAATTCAGGAGCATTATGTTGACACTCTGCTGCCAGATACACTATCCTCTGCATTTGACGGGAGTGTACCTTTAAACATGTTCCTTGATTCCCAATAAATACCTAATTATCAAAACATAAAATGGAAATAAGTGAATACACTTGGTTATATCTATGACCAATAGGGAAAGGATGAACAAAAGTTATGAGTGGTCTTAACAGGCTTAAGGGGTCCACCTAAGCTAAGCAGTGTCACTATAAAATACTAAACCGGGTGTGATAAATGAACAATATGAATTCAAAATGAAATATACCCACCTCTTGCAAGGCTAATGCTAGATCTGATCGTACTATTTGAACATCTAACAATTGGTCCAAGTTTTCAAATATCTTCTCCTGAACTTTGTGATTTTCTCTAATAAGTAGTTTTAAAAGGTAGAGAGTTTTCTTAAACACAGTTTCCATTCCCTTATACTGTTCCTGTTAATATAATATTTTTAAAGGTGTATGTTCAACATCTCTAACGTCGTCGAATCGTGTATTTGTTGTCTGAAATTTTGGAACACATGAGTGACACAGACAGGGAAATGCGCTTTAACGAACACTCGGCATAAATTAGTTCAGTTTGGGACAAGCATATAGTTCAATTTTGTTTCAATAATTCGATTGCACGTAGGTGTCTTTAGCAGTGGGTGGGGGTGTGCTGGGGAGCCGGGAGAAAACCCATGAGGTTGGACAGGCGAACCCACTCCTTGTAAAGTATAAGCGGGGATTCGAAACTACGCCGCTTGACTCAATAACAGACCTTACGGTTTGACACGTACTCCTGAAACCATTCAACCACCCAACCCCATCAGTTAAGTAATACAAAATATATTATTAATAAAGCCGACTTGACTATTTATATTAAAGTATCTTTTAAAACTTACAATTAATCGTGCGTCTATTTCCTGAGACAAAATATCCAATACGATGGTGAGTAAACCTAGAAAAATAGATAAATACGATATTACCAAAAAGACAGATATCGATGATTGTTGGCCAACTTTATTTTGTAATTCTTCTTGTATTAGAAGTTTGAAACTGCACTTCAGTCCGGTAAGTCCCATTACATTGCGCGGAAAGTAACTGTTTGCTGGTGCAGTGTTGTCCAGAGGTTATCTGCTACCCAGTAGCCTTCAAATTCTGGACTTCAGATCCATATTACTGCTCCAAATAGTAGTGACCGGTACCGTGTACAAAAACAAGTTGACATAGCTAACACCTGTTGTAGTTATGCAGTATTGTGATATAAACCTGGTAAACTTACCATGACTAATCATAATGTTTTGGTTCATATGATGGGGCTCTTCTGGGGTTTTAGGTAGATGACAAAATCTGGAAGATAGATAATTATTCAGTACAACTACAATTCTAAGCACCCGAAATCCAAACAACAATCCAAGTTCAATATCCAATGAACAATGTTTACCATTACCCCGTTGACGTTACAAGTAGTGAATCACACGACAAACAAATAGAATGTATAAAAGTATAAACTTACTCGGCCAGTTCATCTAACACTTCACTCATAAGTTGAACTTGTTGGTCATTTAGTTTTTGTCTAGCTAATCGTCTTAATGTAGGTAAACTTCTCTGTACCTCCCGATGTACTCTAGCAGAATCGTGTGTTTGTAGAACCTGGTTATAAAATATAAAATGGTTTAAACACATCTCTTTCGCTTTACGGAGGTACCGAATAAATCCAGATCCATATATTATTCTTCTTATTATTATTCAAAATCTCTTACCAGTGCTTGTTGAGCTAATCGGAACATGTCATTCTCAGACGAATACATTTTATTCAAAATATCCAATGACTTTACTACCATTTTATCATATTTATAATTTGACAGGTCCTGAAAAGTTATAGAAATTTATTATATGAATATGCTGAGATTCTGTCGGGGTAACGTAACTGTGCACCTATGCCACCTTCATTCTCCAATCCTGCCACCTAAGAAAAGTCATGAACAAATTTTAGCACTTAGCCAATGAAATAGCTTCTTTCTCAACATATTTTAGTTTCTTTTTATCAATTATAGAATCTAAGTCCTCAATACACAGATTACAAAACAATCACTGAACACTAAATATACAAAATACGTAAATTGGGGATTTATAAAATAATAAAATAATGGTTCTCAGATTTTATTATATTAGGATTGCTTAATTATCTCCTCACCATTAAGATGGCTGTAGTCGATTCTATAATAAATATAGCAGACCCATGAAACATTTCCCTTAGTTCTCTCAATACAACCTTCTGCTTCTTAAGAGATTTTCTGAAATATATTAAAATGGTTTTGATATTGGATCATCTAAGGAAAACATTACTCGAGTGGATTTTGTTTTGACCACTGGTTAAGATCTATTATGCTTGGTTTTATTGTAACAAAACCAAGTGTTTTCTGGAAATCTTAACACAACAGTGAAAAATTGCCACGCAGTGCAGTTAAAAAGATAGACACTGAAATGCGTCCGTATAAAAATACTATACGCATAACATTAAGTTAACTTATGGTCTGACAAATGAACTTACTTGGTCTGTTCACTTGGATCAAATGTTTCATATAGAAGTGGTTCTAATACAGTCTGTGATTTCTTCTTTATAGCTATCTGTTCTGTTACTTTAAATCTCGCTACAAACACCTTCGGAGCAAAAGAAGAGAAAAAAAAGGGGGGTTAACAAGTGCTGAACATAAATATTATGTCATTTCAGAAGATTCGTTCCGTACAGGCCTCTTTAGCAGTGTATGGAAACATGATAAACCCTATTTACATAACTGACCCCAACACGTTAGAACTTTATATCTCAAAACAAGATATATCTAAAAAAATATGTTAGTTTACTTACTTTTAGTCTTAAATTTCTTTGAAACGTCAGCAGTAAGTCCAGAACCTCCATTGCTCTAAAAAGAAAAATGACAAAATATTGATCAACATTTTAACTAAATATATGCATATTCGGAAAAATTAACTTGGATTTGGGGTAATTAAAAATAACAAACATGTAGTACCACTGATCCATAAGTATGGGAGCCGCGGTGGCTCAGTGAGTAAGACTTTTTGGCCGAGAAAGTTCATCGGGATTTTCAAGCGTGTCCCCCCCCCCCTTGTTAGTGGTACAGGAAAATGCAGTCGTTCGGAGGTCCGATGTACACATTGGCGTGTATGTAAAAGATCCCTTGGCAGTTGGAATTCGATGAAAGCGTAGTCCAAAGTGCCGTTTCCGGGCAATATTTCCCTCATAGCACACTGTATTGCGGATGTCCGTCTTCTTTAGCCCAATCGGAGAAGAAAAGTGGGACATTAAGCACCATTACATTTTATTTTGTCTCTAATCCCGAAGGGTTATAAAACTCCATTAAAACACCGTTATATAGTAGGCGGACTTTCAGGGGTACATACCAAAATATCTCGAGTTCCAATGATAAAGTTGTATTAAATGTTTCAAAATTAATAAACATACTCTGTCCCGGGCAACATACACCATTATAATAACATATAAATCAGAAATCTCTGTGAAAGTGAAATAGATCTGCGATTCCTTGATGCCATGACATGATTTGAATGCAGATTTCAGTTTAGATATCAAATATCCCGTTTATCGTATAGTTTTACACGCAATTTCGTTTTAGATGAAGTCCTACTGGCAGAATACCAATTGGATATTACATACTCCAAATCACCCAGTGATATTGTCTCTAAGGAATCCCACCATTCTCGCAGTTTTATTGATCAAATACTTACTGAAATTTCGCATTAACAATGGCTTCTGTTTCTAAACTTTTTTCAAATCTACCTGTTGTTTTATAATGCTGTACTGCTTTGTTTCCTTCTTTCGAATACCCTAAATGAAAGCAAATCAATTTATACAAAGTATTAATAATATCGACACGCAGAAAAGATAAATATCTGACACGCAGCAAAGAAAATAACTCGAAACAATAAATATTATATTGCTCTAATGCATAAGTGGACACGTACTTCTGTGTAGCCAGGCATGTCCCTTAGATCATTTTAGGGTTCTCCCATGTAAGTGGTGCCAGACGGGGTGGGGGGGGCTTGCAAGAAAACAGCGTATAGTCGTGCAAATGTGGGGGGGGGTGAGGTCTTGTGTACACATTGATGTGCACGTAAAAGAATCCTTGGCTTTTGGAATTCGATAAAGAGTGCCAGGCTAAATGCCCGTCTCTATTTGCCAAGTTGGGGCTGAGCATGAGGGCACTAAACCCCATTTCATTTCATTTTAGATAATTTCAAGTTGTCATGTGACTTATAAAAAGGAAGGTTAATATGAGTAAAATTTAATAGGATGCATACCCTTTCCTTTGTCTTTCGGGAACGGAACATCATGACGGCCATCCAGTAGGCTGAGTAATGGTGGTAACAGCAATCGGACGTCATCAAGATCCATATAATAACCAAATTTAACCAGATGGTGCAGCAATCGAAGAACCTTTAAAATCAAAGTTAGTGATTCGTTAAAGGAAAAGTCCAAGCTTTACTGTGTGACAATAGCTATAGTTCCCCCTTTAAGGCGAGATCGCCCTATCCATAGGGGGTTGAGCAACTCCAATTGAACAAATCTGAATAAACACTACGCTTACATATAATAACAAACAACCAATAAGATCAATAGAAATCCGCTTTGGTAATCAAAAGATCGAAGATTACAATCAAAATGGAGTCAATTCCATAAAATATCTGGTGAGTATACCATTGGGGATCGTTTAAATCTAAATATTTAAAAAAAGCAGAGTTCAGAACGTCGAACCCACCTGTTCTATGAGTAAATTGTGTCCTATTAAGGTCGCTGTCATTGTACAGTTTGAACTGAGAAAATCGGCCATCCAATCTCTTAACACCGGGAAAATAGTTACCAAGTCTTTTACTACCTGTTTTAAACAAAATCAAATCGATTTAATACGGAAATATAAACAATTCAAATAACTGTATGCATAAATTTCCCAACATCAATATTTGTCAAATGCACAAAAATAACTTTTTCCTCCTTTCAAGGCTTTCAAATTCGCCGTTTTCAAAATCACCATAACACAAAATGAAAGTCATGCAACACAGAACTCAAGAAAAAGTACGACCGGTCCTAACTAGTATTTAATGAGAGGTCAATTGGAGAAAAAGAGAATATGATTGATGATTTTGTTGTTTACGGTAGGACCAATTGTATTTTGCATTCTTGTATTATTAGACGTTAGTTGTTAAATATTGTTATAGAGCACGAATCCACCTTGGTTCTTGTATTTTTTAACATGAATATTTTACTATGTTATTGTGTTTGCGTTGTTTTTTAATTGTTTTTTTTTATATTAATTTAAATGAAATTAATAATACACCTGTGCTAAGGTCATCAATAGATCAATGCAAACGTGATTAACAGAATTATTGTCATCGTGTTTCGTATGTCTGAGGTTAGAAAAATACAGAAATATAATCATACCTCTCCATCTACAGTTGCAGTCCCGGGTTTTTCCTGGATTTTGGAGACGTGAAAGCAAAACAAGGTGACGTTAGCGTGCAGCTAAAAGCTGGGTTTAATCACATTATTACATAGTAACAAAATTTACAGTGGGTCAATTTAAAGAATACGACTCTCAAGATAATGGGTCCCGCTAATATTAAACTTATATTCAAGCAGGCCATGGTATTGTAATCAATTATTGTTGTGCTCATTGGGGCTAATGTATTTTATACTTGACGGCAGCTTTTCAATAGCTTGAAAAGCAGTGTCATCCCATTATTTCATGTGATGAGTTTTAGCCGAAACGTATATGAGTTAATTGTTATAACTTTGAATAAAACTTGGACTGCTGTAGATAACAGCATTGCAAGCGCAAAAGTGTTTTGTGAAGATACCCGGAACTGAACTTTTTGGCAATAATTGGTAATGACTTTGAAATTGGCAAAATTGGCTAAACAAATTAAAGATACTTGAAAAATTTGAGAAATTTAAAGACAGAAGTAAAGAATTAGTTGAGCACACTGCAGAACAAAACCTTTTAAAAATTAAAATCCGCCACCCCATTCGATACCGATTATATTTTTAAAAGCGACTTTCATTTAAATTGACCCACACTCAAATAAAATCCTTTCTACATTTTGATTAATAATATTTCCAAATAAATGAATACAAAAAAAAATTCAACTTCAAATAAAACAAAAATTCTACACCGTATTCTTTAAAATACTTATTCGCTAATTCATACAACCATAATATAAGACAAATATCAAAATATACAAAAGTTAAAAGTTAGTAAAAACTGTTTTACACAGCTCTTTAAAAAACACAGAACATGCGAAATGTATAAAGATTATATAGTAAATGCAGACATACAAATAACTTTTTTTTTTGGTCATGCTAAATTACAAGTTCCGTGCATTTCAATATATTCGTTCGATTAAAGGTAGAAGAATTAAATGTTAGGTTAAAATGAAAAGATCGAAAACATGCAGTGCCATGCAACAATCACGTATCCTCAATCGTATTTCAGTTCGAAACACCAGGAAGAATTTATTTTGTTTTTTTATATGGGGTTTGCCACAGTCCCATTCATAAGTTGCCTGTGTAGTATTTGATTTTAAAAATGTCAATTTCATAGAGTTCAACTTCAGGAATATTGTCAATAAAGAAGAGGTGCTCATGCAAATCTTAGATGAATGTTAGCTTAGACGGTAATCGATATTTTAGTGATTTGAATATAAAATAGAAAAGAAATTCAGTGAAAGAGAATTTAACCTATTAGACAGTATTATTCAACAAGCCAACACTGAAAGTGTTACTGATTAGAAAGAAAAGTGTATGAATGAAGAAGATCGCAGAAGAAAAGGTGTATAGCAAGGATGTCTATTATCCTGATATCTATTCAATATATGTATAAATGTATTTTTAACTGGCGTTGTGCTTATATTTTTGCATACTTACATATTGACTTTGTTCTCTATCCGAGTCTTTGGAGCCAACATAATCATAGACAAAGCATATATTAGGATTGTCCAGCACTGAATAATTATTACCAACATCCACAAATAACCCTAAAAAAAAACCAGAATCAGATACTCTTAAAAGTCTGGATATATGTCCCAAATTCATTTTTAGTTAATGTTAGGCGACGCCTCCATCCCCTTGATTGCCCTTCTTGCAATTGTTTAATATAATTTCATATATAAGTATGACAAATCAAATAACCTACCTATAATTAGTTCTGTAAATCTGGCTCTAATAGCATCTGGTAGTAAATCTGCTTGGATACACAAGAAAGCATCTTCCCACGTTACATATCCAAATTCTCTTGTTATCACATGTATGGCAAAATCATTTCTACCCTTTAGTAAACAATTTACAAAGACATTGTTATAAAAATATAAGAAGTTCCTCAAGATATGTTTTGAAAATTTAATACAAACTTGTTAAGATTCGGTGAAGTATAAGGCGCCTACAAGAGACATTATTTCTGATCAATTTCAAATCTACTTTCCAGATCGTGGGTACCCAGAAATGAATAATTTTTTTAACAAGAAAAAATATACTTACATAACAAAAGGCTTTCAGTAATTCAAGTTGATGTAATAAGAAATGGTATTTATCTTCATCATATTCAGGACAAAGTGGCTAAAGAAATTAATTCATATTACATATGAATTAGGTCACATTTTGCATCTCAAAATTTGTCCGCCTTAGTTACAAGATCGACAATTATTTCATTAAAAATATATTGGTCTTTTATGTTTACATTTAAAAGTTGAAATCCAATGTAGTCGTATATAGATCACTATGGGGATACCGATCCCTTGTTTAATCACGGCACAGGGCAGAAATTTTCAAAGCTCAAAGATAGTTTTGACAATTTCGGAAAATCTGTAAATGTAAGGCTTATGTAAATATCAATTAGTCCATTACTACAAACATTTTACTTACATCTACAAATAAATGAAGAGCTGTCCACGACGTACCACCGTCTGTAGATGTATATACTATATTAGGGCGTTTGTTGATATTCTGCCCCCTATCCATCAAATATACGCTATCCTGTAACACAAATATTGAAAGTACTCTTCCCTGAACATAAAAACATCAATACTATTCTGGGACATCAATATAAATTATACACATCAAAATATCAAATATACTTTATTCTGCAACATCAAATAAACATTATTTCTTCACTCCTCTAGCATTAAACATCAACAATACATCCTACCACATCAAGACATTAAATCTACATCTTATACCTTAACATCCACAGCATATTACTAGTATTCAATATCCGGAAACTAACTTCTGTCTCGACCACCTACCTATTAAATGAAGGTTATTATGTACTAGTATTCCAATAATTTTAATAACTTGCTATACCTTATATGACCGCAACCACTGCTGTACAATATATGTCTGGTTATTCGGGATAGCAACCCCATCGCATACACACAAAACTTGTAGCAAATCCAGAAACCGGAAATTCTATAAAAAAAAAATCAAATAAATATAAATATAGCAACCATTCACGATTACATTTTTATATCACAGTTTAAAACTTTGAATTGGCTATGAAGACATTAAGCCGCCAGCTTACACATTAGAACTCAATATGCTAGATTATGCTCATTTAATCATGACTAAATTATTAATTAACATCTACATTACTTAGGCTGGGACATTAACCAAATAAACTATGGTCTGACTTTTAAATATTTTATGATGGTCAACACGATTAACCAATATTATTGGCCAAGTTCTGTTTCATTTTCTATTTTTAATAGCAGCATTGGATGTGTTGCGCCTGGCATGTTGACAACACTATTCAAGAATACGAATTATCATATATTAGACAGCTTTTTTTTATTATCTGCAGATATGTTCATTGTTTTTTTTTTTCGTTTGACACCTGTATAAGATCCATTGTGCTCCTCTATTTTTGTACACAGCACTGATAAAATATGAGTAAATTCATTACAAATATATATATGGTTTTAAATTTATGGTATTTGAACAATATCTGAGGCTTACCTGATTTTGTCGGAGTAACTGTATAAATATATCAATATGTGATTTCGTTATTCTATCTACTATCTTTCTCTTATCACGTATTAATTCTACTATCATCTGAGCAACATTCAGGCCAATACCACCCTAAAAATACAATCAAACAAATAGTAATGCCTGTCAAAGGGGATGCTCGATTCACAGTCCAGAACGTCCCGAATTGACAGAATTGCAATCGAGTAACGCGGAATTCAGTTCTGTCACAGTTCTGTCAGTCCCGATAACGGAGGTGGTGTGAGTAGAATCGTGACGTAATTAAAAGGTTTCGGCTGCATGGTTGGTTGAGATATTTACTTATTCAGTCGACGCATTTGTTGTAGCCCGAAATCCACCTTTTCACTCGATTGTCACTATTTTTGGGATTGGGAGAATTCAATTCCGGAACGTTCAATCGAGTACGCCCTAAGAGTCAGAAAAGAGACAACGGTAGTAGTGTGCTTGAGGTTTAATCTGAATAAGTTATTTGTCAGCAGCATTCTTATCAGAAAAGGTAAGGGACTTCAATACTAATCAGTTTCAAATACAAAACCTTACCAGAACTATTTATAGTCTCATTACACGTACTAAACGGTACTTAATGAATACTGTGTAATATTCGAATAATTTTGTTGACTTAATGTAAATGTAAAATATCAATGTTAAATATTATCATATCTACAAACAAGCGGCTGCCATGCAACATACGTCTACATTTTGCAAGAGATCGGCAGGGAACAGGCTAAAAAAGCATTTTTTCGTACAATTAGAGGCCATAATACGGGATGGAACTGTCCGACATGCGTCAATATCGAAAGGAACCGAGATCTGTGGGATACCAATATACTTCCTCAGTTTTATTAAAATCAGATACAAATTGTAACCTCTAAAGGGTCCCACAAGCTCAAAACGAGATCTTTTGGATATAAACCTATACTTCAAGTTTCGTCAAAATCGGATAAAAATTGTGACCCGTAAAGTGTATACAAACAAAATGTGAACGGTCGGACAAGGGCGTAGAAAAAAAATACATGTATGCTAAGGAATGAGCAGCACTGAACTTTTAGTGTAAGGTAAATCTTAGCTTTTATCTGATAAACAAAGATTTACAACAACACTACCCGTTCTGGCAATTTCCTTCAAATATATATATGGAGAAATAAAATACCCACCTTTTGAGTAAATTGTGTTTGAAAGAAATCTATATATTTGGCGAAATACAGCGCATTTTTCCTACTTTTGCCAATCATATAGGCGTGTAAAACATCATAAGCCTCTTTAAAAACTCTAATAAGATGTGATTCTTCTTCTCCGGATGTCAAGGGACATTGTAATAATTTGACCAGCAAATCTATCACCTGAAAAACAATATCATTACCGTTTCGGTTATATACATTAATGTACTTTGTTCTAAGCGACAATAAAATGTTGTTTTTTTGGATCTATCATAATTACTTGAGAATAGTAAATTATTCCAAGAGATGGAATTATATATGCTATGGCTTGTATGTATCTGAATAAATATTGTTAGGCTGGTTATGGAATTACCAAAAATACCTCTAAGTAGTATGCATCCCTCAATCTGAAGTCAAAATATAAACTGCTTGCATTATGGCCTGTATCGGGCATCTTGGATCAGTTAAGTTTAGGTCGCTTTGTCAAAATTTCATTTATCCATAAATTTGTCAATCTTTTATGAAAGCATGGATATAATGTGTAGAATATTCATATCTATAACATATCTTTTGTCGTCTCTTTTTACAAAAAAGCTCTTCTTCGTTCTTATCCGTTCTTATCTGTGATTAGTAGTAACTGTTTTTTATGTATGCCTATTCACAGTCGTCATGGGTAGTAACTATTTCAGCAAATTTCTTACCCTTAAATTTCTCATCAATTTCTGTCGATCTTTATCAGGCAAACCTTCAGGCAACATAAAATCTTTGACCTCTTTTAATGACTGAAATATGATTAGCACTTTCAATAAAGAACTTGTTTTGTAAATAAAGTAAAACTTGTACAAAACTTTATTTTTTAAGTCTTTATTCCAGATAATGACGTTTTTGCAAGAACAATTTGTTTTTAAATATAGCAAATATCCACATGAGTATTTAGTAATATCTAATATTGCTTACCGTTATGATACTGTGCGTTTTTCGAGCATTCAGTTGGGATGCAGATTTCCTCTGTAATAATAATAAAATACTAAACAAACTGTAGCTCAAGAGCAGAAACGGTGGCTTGTTCGAATCAAATATCAGACGAAAACAATTTGTATAATAAAGTATGCAATCAATGAGACAAAATTGCAAATTCTGTACTTTGTTTGGGTATGTGGTAACTATATATCCAAACGCTGCCTACTAAATCGTTTGATTTTCTGTATTTTATTCCCTACTAAGGTCCAGTTTGCATTTTCATTTTTCTCTGCCTTAGCTCACCAATAGATATACTTACATCTTGTATTAGATTAAAGAGAAAGGGCACCATCCCAGCCACATAGTTAAAATTATCAATATCTCTGGGTTCCACACGTTGAATTGTATAAGCATCATCATAGATACTTTCACTGGAGGCAGATACCTGCAACAGTTTTAAAATGTACAATAAATGGTACAAACATTGAAGCAAACTAAAAAAAAATTCAAACTTTTTAGTATTCGGTGCAGTACCGTTTTATTAAAATGTACGTCAAAAATAAAAAAGTCTAACTCACTTTTCTGACCTCAGCCCCGTCCCAGCGGAGTCCTTGCATTGATTTTTCATTATCGCCATCTTCATACTGATGTTTCTTATAATCTTCGTCTGAAATAATCCAATAATAATAAAACTGTGCACAGAATATACAGTTTCCCGTATCATACAAGGTATATGCACGTATACTAGAAAGAGATATTGTCATATGAGGTGTCCTTGTTGTGTACCCTGTGTTTTTTTTATTTTGTCTGTGTGTTAATCTTTATTTAAAAACTGGCTCATATCAATCAGCACACACTAATGAATACTATAAAATAAAAGTAACATTACCTTTAAGAGCGTGTAACCAACAGCCAGTCAGCATGTGTTCAATTCTAGCATAGCTCTCATACTGAATCTCATCTCTTTCCTGAAAAAGTATTATTATATGAAAACACTGTAATTATGATACAAAGGTGTATGAAGTATCGAATAAATCCTGATCGGAAAAAAATAATAAGGGAGATAACTACACCTTAATCATTACTCGTACCTTTAGAACAGAATGTAATCTGAACACTGTTCTTGGATCTGTAGAATCAGGTAACAACGATACCTCCATCTTGGAATCAATACACAAATACTGGCGAGTAAGTCCATGACGTAAACGTATTTGTTGCTCCCAGCGCAACACGTCACCTAAAATTAAATCATAAAGAACGTAAATGTATTCATGAAACGAGATATTTGTTGTTGTTTTTCTTATTGGGGCGAAGCTCTTCGGGGAGCCAATTCAAGGACAATCGACTTGAAACTTGACAAGCGTGTTCCTTGGACAACTAGTGTGTATCGATCGACGGGCTTTAATTTTTTATATGTCGTCACAATAAAAAAATTTCTAAAATGACTGTGATGACATCATACTCGGTTGCTGGTCCATGGTACATATTATTAAGTATGTATATCAATAAATTATATTCCATTTTGGTAATATTAAGTATAAATAACAATATTTTATAATTAAGTATGTATAACAATGAATGATATTAACTAACCGTCAAGAATACTGTGTTCGGCCTCAATCTGCCAATATGTCAGACCAGACGTGGACGGAGAAAGAGACTTAGGCCGGTGTTGGTCAATCGCTCTAAGACGGAAATGAACTAGAAAAAAAAAGGAAAAACATCTTAATCAAAGAAAGTAATTATGTATTAAACTTATAACCAACACACATCGTACAGTATACCGAATCAACAACACAGGATATCTGAGTGAGAATGGGAAACAGGCTTATGTAAAACCCCTCTCCCTAAATAATATATATAAATGATATTAAAATTGATCACTTACCATCCTCTGTCACAACTTCATCAAACAATCCTTCACCAACAAGATATGCCTCCAGTTCTTTATGAAATAATCGTATAAATGAGCCACCCTAAAAACAACAAATAATAATTTATTCGGTTATTATACATGAAAATATCAGCTTAGATTACAATACTTCTTAATAGATTTTAATGAAACGATATAGAGCATAATTATAAACAAACGAAGAGTCTTACTCGAACAAATTTTTCTTGTTCCGGGGTATCTCGGAAGCTGCCGATGAGGGTAAAGCTTGATCGTTCAACTCCAAGGTTAACTTCAGCTCTGTTAATAAATAATCAAATATTTAGATGAACGTATCGTTAATATCACATGGCAGTCAATTTGTAAACATTATATGTCTTAAGATTTATAGAGACATTGAGGGAAGCTAAATTATAAATTTATAACGTTGTTTTCTTTTTCCTGTCCAAGATACATCAAAAGTAGTATCATTGCAAAAATCCCAGTTTCTAAGTAACTGCACAAATTGTAACGTGTTACTATAAAATAAATAATATTTGCATAAACCATCTCCTTTCTATGAGACAAAGTTCGTAGATGAGATCTGTGCATAACTATTGGACTTATATTCTTAAAATGCATCTTCCCAGTAAATACCGAACCGTTTTAGCGCGAACAAACTTCAAAGTTCAATTAGAATTTAATATAACGATGGGGATGGCGGCCGAGTAAACAATAGATTATCATGGTTTCGAGGACGCCCTTATACGTGAACAGAAGTAGGACTGAAATAAAGTAGGACCCCGAAGGTACGCGAAGGCATCCGAAGGCATTATGCCCCTTTAACCATCCTGAAATATCTATTAATTGATGTTATATGTACAGCAATGGCGGTTGACATTTTAACCTTATAACTATAAATTAATATATTGATCGGTTATCTGAATGATTTAGTTGCCGTCATGTACGCTCGTTTCATTCATAATGGTTACATGATCTTTTTTTTTCAATATTGTATTAACCCTTTCATTTATATTTGATGTGCTTAAGATAACCTAACATACCTTGATGGCTACAAATAATAGGAACGAATCGACCCAGTTATAGAGCACTTTACCGCATTAGGTGAGTGACAGATTCTTTGTATAAGAATCGAACAAGTGCCCTATGACTTACTGGTCAACACTACAAACACACATACGAATACAATAGGCCAGATGATTGGTAAAGATGCTCGGTATCTAAAGTACACCATAGTTTATGGATTGCTATTGAGGTTTATAGATACTGTATAAATATTTAGATATATGACGAAGATGCCTGTAGATATATATTCGCGGAGTTTCTCACTATGTAAACAGTATTTAAACAATACCAAATTATCTTTTGTTTAGATGTTGACCTGATTTTCAGGTGATGAAAGGCTTTTAATATTAAATAAAAGACTGCTTTCATTCACAAAAGTTCATAAAAATGTAATCAGTGTATTATATATTAAATCAATGGGGGAGAGAGTAGTTTTGTTTTGTATAGACTAGTAATTCCATACTCAAGAATGTAATTCAGCGCCTTGTCTACAATGTAGAGGCACCGTGTGCTTATTACTTACTGGTCATTAAATTGGTATTAAGAATAACTTACCCAACAGAGAAACGATCTATCTGATATGGCTCACTAGAGTGAAAATAATGACCTGGGGATTTAACACTTTCAAACACTATTTGATCATATAGTTGAACCTGAAACACAAAAATGGGGATCGTGGAAGAATGGGGAAACGCCAATGTATAAAATGCACAAAACAAGTCATATACTTTCGCCATTTTCGAGTGACTTGTTGGCACCCATTTACACGTATGTCAAAAATATCTGCAACTCAGTCAGAACAGTTGTTTCTGAACATAATACTTACCACTTCACCTTCAGATTTAACTTTATATCTCGGTAATATCCGGAATTGAGCATTCTTTGCATTGAATTCATGTAATGACACCTGGAAAAAAGAATGATATTAAAGTCATTTATAACAAAGTGTACTTAAATTTGTAAATAATGAAACGCCGTCAAGCCTGTTGCGACAGACATAACAACAGAACCACTCTATACCATTCGACACATTTTGCCGGTCAAATATTTGATATACAGACCCGGGACTTTACAACGCATTGGAGGCTTACAGCCGCCCCCCCCCCCCCCGCCGCAATCATTCACTTAATTTGATACCGACGTATGTTGTTTATTTTATTATGTGAAATGTATGTGTATATTGTGTGCGTTGTCTGCGGAGGGGGAGCGGAGGGGGGGGGGGGGTCATAATCTTATCATTACTAACACATTTGGTTATTATTGCTTCAAGTTTACAAGAATTGTGAATTAGTAATCTCTTTATACAGTCTTCATCACAAATTAATCCAAAATTTCAACATGCCCACCAATATTACAAAAGATACATTTAATAATTCGTCAGTTAGAAAGGTCTTAAACAAAAGAACATTTCTTTTCCGATATCAAAAGTAGCTATGTGTTGAATGAATTTAATCTAACGTATGGCGTAAAGCGGGGTCTGCATGGTTTCCATCATTCCACTAATTTAAGATGATTGATATTTCTAGCTTTTCTGCACCATTGTGCTCGTAATCTGTCTTCGTACACGATCTAAGACAATTGCCTACAGACCAAAACATAAGGTTATATAATAACACCCCCACCAGATGAGACAATAAACAATCTATACCTATATATGTTATAGTGTGTTCTTCTCTTGTCTCTCATGATTTTAAGCTGGTGTAAGTTGTGTATATAAAAGTTTCGGTAGAAATAGAATGGTGCAGACAGTGTCGATTTATTGCTACGCTACTGCCTTTATGTCTTAGGTTTCAGGTTCTACCACACACGTTGCTTATAGGTGTTATGTCAGAGACAGGTAAGGTATGATAGTATATATGAGATTCAGTGTTAAGGGTGTTTTGGCAATAGCATTGATTAATTTGATATCTTCTTATACAAGCAGAATAACAAAGGCATTTATGTATCTTATCAGTTTACAGTCCCGACCAAATTTCAAGATAAAAATACGTAGGTACACTTTCAATCAACTGTCTTCTTTGGTTTGGTTTCAAATTTGTTTGTTTACCAGAAAGAGAGGCCTGATAATTTCATGAATATCTTTATATGTCACCACATAATTTCTAGATTTGTAGTTGTTGAACTGGCATACACTTGGGTAACGTAGAAGCTTTAGATTAACAATAAGAACAGTGAAAGATGTATCCAATATAGGGCAATTGGGGAGTGCGCCCACTTAAAGGTGTCAGACACAATTTACACAATTATATATTGTTTCTAAATATCTCTGATTATATTCATGTTTGCTTTCGCAAAGCTATGTGCAGAAACCACCTGCACCATAATGCACATCTAAATGCAGGTGCATTCAATTTGTTACCGCAATTATCTATCTTGTGAAAAAACATGCGCACAGGGCAGATGGCAAACTGTAACTTGTATATATGATATGTATATTGAATCTAGTATAAGCGTATCAAATTGTACATATGATTATTGTTTATAAAACATATTATACATCTTGGGTATTATTTTCCAAATATTTAATATTCGAATATAACGACTAAAAACTGTTTCTAACACTATATTTGTGAAATTGTCGTCAGAACGTGTTCTAATTAGAGCCAGTTTCGTTCATGAAGTTTAATCCGTAGAGGATTTGTTTTTGTTTATTTTTTTATTTTTCATCTCTTTTCTTTGAAATAACAAAATACGGGGGTATGTTTCTACCTAGGATGATTTGAAACTGGTTTTATAGACTGGCACAGATATTGAGAGGTCATACCCAAACACTGTTTTATAAGTGTTTTAATGGTTCCTTTGTAAGTAGAAACCAAATTAACTACGTGTACATGAATCAAGTTTATGGTTCTTTAATACAAAACACATGTTATAGTGGTGCTTAATTTAAAAAACTGTAAAAACATAGATATTTCTTCAAAGACGCTGACCTGAAAATTTGTTCGTACACCAAGATTATACAGCACGTTAATGACATACGTTCTTTTCTCAGACTTGAGTAGAACTCAAAGTATTTGGGGTTTAGTCTTCGAAATATGTACTTATCCGTGTGTTTGGGGCTAAACTTTCTTTAAAATACTAAGGCAATAAATATTGAAGGCCAATTTTCTACTTCACATGAGCCAATTAAAAAACAGACATCACAGTGACGCAAAGATTGTGGGGGCTGCGACAATTTCTACTGCACATTAGCCAAATAAAAAACACGCAACTGAAAGGTAAAATTGAAAGCTATATCACAGTATGGTCGACAGAAGTAAATGAATTAAGAAATAAATAAGAGAGAGAGAGAGAGAGAGAGAGAGAGAGAGAGAGAGAGAGAAATGGGGTTTAACGTCCACTCGACACAAACTAGGTCATTTCGGGACTAACATATGGTTTTAATTTTATTTCAATAATTCGCTTGCGCGTAGGGGTCTTTAGCAGTGGGAGGAAACCGGAGGACCCGGAGAAAACCCACGAGGTTGGACAGGCGACCCTACTCCTTGTCACGTACAACTGGGGATTCGAAACCACGCCAATCGACTCAATGACAGACTTTATGATACAGCGCACGCATGCTAACCATTCAGCCATCCAACCCCCCGAAATAAATAAGTAAATGGGTTTTCTGTCTGATAAGTATCATTATTATATACTTACTCTCATGTTGTTTTTGTCTTTTTTGCTGGTGTGGGTGGTACTCATATGAACAAACTTTCGAGTAAATAAATGTTTTAACTGAAATAATGATGAATAAAAATTATTTTCATAGCATGGCGATGGTCTAAATAATAATCCATCTTAAAAGGGTCAAATTTATATGGCGGGTACTGTTTATCAAATATTATACATTTACCTGTACAATTTCTCCATATCGAACCCGTTTTCCATGCTGTCGTTTCTGTTCTGCCATGTTGTCTTTGTTTTCTGCCTCTGCCGCCAGCTATAGAAGAATAAATATAAAAAAATAGAGACGGTTGGCTTTGTCGTTTATCTCTTTGTGGTGGGGAGGGGTCTGCTAGGCTAGGGTATTTAGGGGAGGGAAGAGGTGATGGTTGTGTTCTTCTTTGTGATATAATGGATTTTGATTAGTTTTTCAAAACGAATTATCTATTTTACTGGATTAGTGATGTTGAATCCCTCCAGGATTAAAATGTACCTTTAATTCAACTAATCGTAAAAAACAGTTAAATTCTATCTGTCTGTCATTTTTCATATTTTTTTATTATTATTATTATTTCAAATAAGACTAAGCTGAGACATATCAAATAAAAACGCAAATACTGCAACGGTTAAGCCCTTAAAACCTATTTTCTAAATAAATGTTCGTATTTACTTTGATGACCAGGTAAATCAAAAACTACAAACATATATAAAAGACAAAGGCGATGACATTTTGAAAGCACGTACATTATTTGCATGTATGCTTTGAATTCGTCCCAAAGGAATTTTAAAGACAATATAACAGAAGTATACAGAAAATAGCTTGCCAGGCAGTTATAAAGCGGTAACTACTGAGTACTGCAATTGCGAAAATGCTAAAATTAAATACAGGCTATTGTACTACGATACTAACTATTCCTGAAAATTTGATGAAAATGGGTGAAGAATTTTGAACTCTGTAGAATGATGCTGAACACGATAATGTACGTTACGAACCATTTTATCGATAGGGACTTTCTATCTCCAAAACTTATCTAATCTGTTCTTTAGACTATGTGTACAAATAGGGGGGTCGAGGGACGGGCAGGGGCGAAGACAACATATGACGTGTATATTAACATAAACACAAACATGACGTATATAATAAAACGTGGAAATCTAAACTGAGCTGATTTTACAAATTGCGAACTAGTGTCTGGCATTTTAAAATGGAGGACATTATCTTTTACAAAATGCACTTTCAATTATCATAATATAAACAGGTTACTGGATAATTTAATCAAGAATTGTATAAGATTAAAATTTATAATTTCTGCTTGTGTAAGCGTCCATGAAATAATTATGTTGGGACCAAAAATAGTTAATGTTACTGATCGTCGTTTGAAGGATTTTGAATCCCTTGCTAACTCCAACATGCAGCACAAAGGGCTTGCCAAAGAACAATGTATAGTTGTTAGGATGGGGCGAAAATCCGGGGTCCCGTGTACACATTTGCGTGCACATAAACAAACCCTTAACAGTTCGAATTCGACATAAGAGTAGGCTGTAGCGCCGCTACCTGGCAAAACTACCCTGCACACTATACGAAGTATGCCCGTCTTCATTAGCAGAGTAGGACATTAACGCCCATTTCATTTCATTTTATTTAATGGGTGGATTTTTTTAATCCGATTTAATCCAAACCGGTAGATGATTTACCGGGCATATTTTAATTTGTTATATAAATGTTAAGAAATCAATTTGTGTCCATTTTAGCGTAAATTAAGTCGTGAAATCGTCCGATAAATGCAAATGACGGCCAACGACTTTATATGATATGATAATTCTTTACACTGTTCCTGAATAGTCGACAGAATTAACGAGTTTCACACCCTGTCAAATATAAATTAATATTACCATTACTGTCGATTACTTTTTTTAAGTTAATATGATTGGGCTAAATTGCACATTTTAATTAGAATCTGAAGATAAATGCGTTTCTTAGCATATGAAATTTAAAATAGTTGATGATGCCCAGATATTAACAAGACGTTTTCCCTTAACTGAAGTCAAATTGTTGTTTAAAAATGTTTTTCATACTCAATGTACGAGGTGCTTTATATGAAAAATGGAGAAGTTTCAATGTCAACTGACCTTGGCCTGATTGAGCATGACCTTGATACCGGACTCCGAACCTTCTGCTGCAGAAAGTGCCTGCCATTTTCTATATTTTTTATTCAACTTATATCTGTTTTGTATGCAAACTTGGAAAACGACAGCTGAAATAAATAAGATGTACTTAAAGACACATTAGTTATGATTTTAATAAAGATTTGGCTATTCTTGATATAACAGTTCAAAAATAGATAATAAAAAAAGAAAATATTGAAAATTTCAGTCAAATTACTTTATTCTAAACGAAGTTATCACTGTTGGAGTTTTGACTAGAAATGGGCACCATCTGTCTCCGCACCGTCTCAGAGAATTGCCGATCGTTTCACTGACAGACGATAACTCCACCCACATATTCTCGATTATCAAGTAACATTCTCAATGCCACGGTACCCTCGATTTTTAGTCCTTTCATCGGCAGTCTCCTGGAGTGACGACTGCGATTAACAGTAAATGATTTAATCATTAAATGCACGACTGTTTAAATCCAAGCTGTATTCAAGCCATCCGAGGGTCTACAGAGTTGATTTTGGGTTTGTTATGTAAATAAAGACCCAATTAATAATTTCAATAACATTTGAAGCCTATAGAAAGACTTGTAGTAGGCATATTTAGCTCTTAACTAATGTATCTTTAAAAAAAGCTGTAAACAATAATACGGTGTTGTTGATGATCTTGTCTGTATAGAAGTTAGAAATATATAGACTAAGATTTGTCAGGTACACCAAGTTTTTAAACTCAACTTAAATTGTATTGTTTAAAATTTTCGTTCTATGACTTTGAACAAATATAATTTCTGTTGATAAATTCATTTTCAAGACAATTAAAACAGATCTCTACATAAGATTATATTGTTATGTGTGTATTTGACTATAACCATGCTAAAAAAAAATGACCATATCACATCTGTGCTACACAGCTCTAGCGAGGCCTTCGTGCTCTTGTGAGCCAATAATATTATTATGATAATTATTACGCAAATAGAACTGTTCAGTTGTTCATAATGGGATTTCATTTTCCGGAAGAAAACTCTACTTTCTGACAGTTTATCAAAATAAAATTCATAATTATGATATATTGATTCGCTGTTAATAATATATCATATACACGTTATTAATACGTCATCTACTAAACATGTTTTCCTTTATGGCATCAGTATCAGTGCTGTTTTTTGACTATTGCACATTTCCAGTGATTAATCATGTTATACTGCTGTTGGAAAACAAGGGTTAATGATATCATACATATTGTTTTAGTTTACTCACCATGGGCGTTAGGAATGTTTAATGGCCTGTTACGGTCCTGGTTGGTGTATATACATAATCCATTATTGGCAGAACTGAAAATAGAAGACGTATACTTAACGTAACGTTATGTAATCAAAACCAAATTGTTGCTGAAAGAGAATTATCTTGTAAATCTCTTTAACAATGTTATGTTACTCGATAGCAAGTGTCATCGCTAGTGTATAACAGGTTGCAACTCGGGATATTCCAGTGGAGTATTTACTGGGAGGGGGTGTATTGAGCCGTGGGGATTCCCATCTTTGCGATCGGCAATTAGATTTTACAAGACACACCCGGTTAAACTCCACAAAAATGTTTTGCTTGGATGATGTGGGTGCTACGTTCCTCGCATTCCCATTTCAATTTATGTAATTTTAAAACAAATTCCAATTTAATTCCAAGCATCATTTGCGTTTCTATTTGTTGATTATTATGATCAATCAATTGTTTGCAAATGAATTGGTGCACCAATTAAAGATACATTTACGGGCATTAAGTCTGGCATACTAACAAAATTTCTACCATAGCATTCTGATATGACTCTCAACCATAAAAAAACAACTAAATGTGTAATCTTGACCCACAAGACAACTGCTAACACTAAGATATTGTAGTGCATTACACGATCCCAGAAAACATCAAATTCCTAATAGAACTCAGGGTTTAACCAAATGATACTCCTAATAAAACAGTCTACTCCCGATTGAGAGAGAGAGAAATGAGGTTTAACGTCCACTCTACACAAACTAGGTCATTTCGGGATCTTTAGCAGTGGGAGGAAACCGGAGGACCCGGAGAAAACAAACGAGGTTGGACAGGCGACCCTACTCCTTGTCACGTACAACCGGGGATTCGAAACCACGCCAGTCGACTCAATGACAGACTTTATGATACAGCGCGCGCACGCTAACCATTCAGCCATCCAACCCCCCACTCCCGATTGAAGTCAGGTATTAGAATTAGTTTTAGCCACACATAGTTTGTGATTTCTAAATATAAAACCATTAAGACTGTACAAAGTGTAAAATGATTAAAGATCGAAAATGTATGCTACTAGTATAAAATCATCATGCAATTGTAGGATGTATGTTACGTTTGTTTATGTTTCATTTAAGACTGTATATTTTAAGATTACTACAGGTTACTATAACTCTGAAATTGAGGTCATTTTGAGACTGACATAATATGGTCAAACAATTGCAGATAACAAAAGTACACGGAGGTAAACCCAACGAGGTTAGGTGTGCTACCCTACTCCTTGTGATGTACAACCCTTAGATCTACAAGGCGCACGCGATAGACCTCTCGGCTGCACCCCCCCACCAAAGAAAACCCCCAAAACACCCTCATCATACGGTAATATGATACGCCTTGAAAACAGCTAAAAATGCCAGCCCAACCATGAAATAACTAATTTTGAAGCCGTAGTGTTACGGTGCTGCCATGATCACCATCGTGAGATTGCTTCCCATTTTAAAGATATACAACAGCAAATTTGTAAGCTATGACTATGAGCAGTAAAATATTACTCTGATTATAAAAGTATAATATATAAACTATAAATCAACAAAAAGCAATATATATTCAAACACATTCAATAACATGTCGCTAGTATCTTAATTTAGTGGTGCAGCAAATAAAACTGAGCAACGAAAACACGTCATATACAATTAAATGTTCCCATTTATGTACTCCTAAGATAAGGCAGTAAAAAAAGCGGAATTGATTATGGACATCTAGGTTGCATAATTTATCAAGCCAATGAATTGTATATATTAATCTATGCTAGTAAAGAAAGGGGTTGTAGATAAGTAGATAATATGTCTCTAAAAAAGCAGTATCGGGGACAGCCATGATAACTCTTAAAATCACACCGCATATCTACTTGTTTATAATTGTAAACATTTATAAATGCAAATACTGGACAGGTATTTATCGCAACCGGCTTAGGTGTGACATTCTAAGAAAATAAACATCATGTCAAAGAGAAAACGTAAGTTTTGCTTTATTGCTGAATGCACTGAAAATGAACCAATTAAGACAGAGTTTGGTATTTTGTATATATACATCTGAATTTAAAGCTAATAATTAGAGATTGTATGCACATTATGTCAGTACACTCATGTCTTGTAAACTTCCCGATTGTTAGGTTCGTTTCACTTAATGTTACAGTCAATAATCCATGCCTTTGTCAGCTTTGGAATATCCATGACGGGTATGTACGATAACAAAATGTTGGCCGCTATTGAAGCAAATATCCGAGGTATAAAATACATCACTTTATTTCAATACTGAAATCCACTGAATAACAGCTACCAGGAAATACAGAGTTCTAATCTAGGACTAAACGGATAATATTTCTTTTTCCCGGCTTAATCCACGCTAATAATATGTGCTCATATTGATTATTTACATTTAATTAGTGGCCTGGATTCAGACAGATAGAAAAAGGCCCATCAAAAGATTTTTTAGAAAAGATTAAGGTAGCGTTCGATTGTTTTGATCACATCACATTTATATTCCGAATATTGACAAATATTCAATTCTTCATATCTTTGTGAATTCTCAACAGAATTGAACCACTCTTGAACTTTCACAACATCGCAAAGTAGACATTTTAATTATAACTGTCAAATTTTAGAATAAACAAATAATAAATAATGTCAATTTATTAATTATTCAAATAAAATTTCAAAATATGTAGTCAAATAATATTTAGTGCACAGGTTCGTTGTTGTAATATATGGTCATATGTTCAGATAACAAATACCCATATTTATAAATTATCCTAACGTCGACCAAAAAATCGGTTTTGTTTATTTTGTATTTGATCTTAGTTTTATTATGTTATAGATTATGTTAAAACCCTTGGCTATGTTATTTCAGATTTTAATATAAACGGGTGCAGTATATGTTAAAGTTAGATGCTATCGTTTAGAAACTTGTATGTAAATACAGGACTGGAATATAAAGTCTTAATGATAACAACCTCAAACAGCAGACATTGCTTTACTGATATGCATGTACATGTAGGTTAGTCGAACCGATTTACTCTACTGGAGGAATCAGTACAATTCTTTTATTTTGGGTTGAAAAAATTGCTAGAGGTTAGTCTAGTTTCTTGTCTGGTGGAGACTTCAATAATTTTGCAAAAACGTATTATGGTTGAACTGAACAGCTTTAAAAGATTCGGCAGATATTTGCTGGTTGGCTGTGATTAGAAGGCTACCTGTAAAATGCACAGGCATGCCCAATCTCCTTTTAGAGTCAAGTGGTAGAAAATGAAACTGATAGAAGCCATCTTAACATATTTTGATAGTTGTTTAAAGAGTCTGCTATCAATAAACAACTCGTCTCAAAAGACAAGTAGAAGGCAAACAACTTAAACAAAACGACATGAAACAGTGCAGGATGAAATCACACCCAAACCCAAAGCTACTAATCTCAACTGCTTAACACTTAAGTGGGTGTTACACACTATGGCTGCCAAGATTACTGGAAACAGATGAACCTTACTTTCTTTATTTCATTCATAAGTTGAAGCACCACTTATTGTGTATATGTTATGAAATATGAAATCTAGGTTTAATCGTTGTCAGCTGGAAAATGGTGGTTAGTTACCAATTGGTGATCAATGCAAGAGACGAAACCATTTGTGTGCCAACCGTTCAAAACACACTCCATCTGTATTCTATACGGAATCGCCATTTTTGACATTTCATATTGAGTATAAGTTTTGTAATCTTAGCCTTTACAGTTATAGATATGTAATTGTAGCGGAAAACATAACGCGAACGTTATGACATACGTTTGGTTCCGTTTAGTATGTGACGCCAAGTTTATGTGTGCTCAATGTTTAGGGTCGCCTATGTTGTGGCCAATTCTAGCGAAATCGGAAAAATTGGTATGCAGCTGGTTTTGATATTGATAGTAAGAAATGATACCATATGGTAGAATTTATATATTCTACTCACATATAGTGTACGCAAGCTGAGTAGTTTGTTTTCTATGTAGAATCCCTGAAGGATAACGTTTGATGCTAATAGAGGTAACTTCCAGGGATTACACGTCAGGAAATATCAGTTTGGCTTTCATTAAGGTTGTGTTACTACAGGTAAATAGGTACAACGGTGATTCCACCTTAATTAAATTATTAAAACAAGACTCACAAATCTTCAACACTCCATGCGTATAGCTTTACCTACACACCGTTCATTATCTAGACAATTAACCGCGTTAATTAACATTGATGATACAAGCTGAACATAGATCATAGAATGAATTCATCACTATAATGTAGACATATTTGTACATTCGTGGGGTAAATTTTGCGCTATGGCCTACTCTTATTTCGAATTCCAACTGTCAAGGGTTCTTTTACGTGCACGGCAATATGTACCAAGAGACCTCGGTTTTTTGTCCTAACCGAACGACTAGACATTGTCCTGCCATCCTGCACCACTGACAAGAGCTTCTCGGTCAATACAGGGAGGGAATGAGAGACCTCATAGTTAGCGAGCAAGTGTCTTACTCGCCGAGTCACCACGGCTCCCCCATTTTCGAGATATCAAAACCGGGTGGAATAACACCTTGTATACCACCACTATAAACCAGATACAGTGTCACAGCTTTTTTACGAGGACGTTAAACCCCATTTCATTTGTATGGAAAATATAAACGGATAGAAGTGTGAATACAAACTAATCTAAACTTCAACTTTTGATGAGCAGTAATATTTTAGAATGGTACGTCGACTGATATAGAAATAGAACACAACATTAAAGGAGCTAAGTCGCTAATAATATTGGGACCTAGAAATTGACACAAATGGGTCGCAACGCATACAATAATGTAATATGAATGCATATAAATTGATTTAGATTCAATCGTTTCTGTATTTACTGTAATTGCTAATCAGTTAGGTTCGGCGAAATACGCCAGTATTCTCAATCGAATTTCAATCTCTAGCGTCTGGTTATTCCAGTCTACGCCGATACTATTTATTGGGCATGCTCTCCAGATAAGAATATAGCGTCCCCGTTTGACATGACTT